GACAACTCAGCGCCGGATATTTAGAACTTTTCTCCGTTGAGCTCGTTCCATTTATTTTTCATATTTTCCGTTTATTTTTTGCATACGGTAGCCTATTTTTTGCGTCATATTTTTCAAGCCATGGAATCTGTAGACCATAAGGTAGAGTCTATACTTAGCGTCGTATCTCTCTCCGTTCCACCTTTTTGTGACATGGATCCTGGTTTGTGGTTCGCTCATCTTGAGGCTAAGTTTTATAACCACAGAATCACTTCCGACTACGCAAAGCATTGAAAGCTCCTGTCCTATCTCCCCAAGGAGATATCAATGCAGTTCGCGACGTTATCCTTTCTCAAACCGAAAACCGCTATGCGGTTCTCAAAGAGGCCACGATTAAGCGTGTTATGCCGTCTGAGAAATTTCGCCTTCAGCAGCTTTTCAAGGATTTTCAGCTGGGCGACAAACTGCCTTCATTCCTGCTACGAGAGATGCAGCAAACTCCTTGGTTCTTCAACCATGGACGAGACTTTACTTCGCGAACTATGGCTACAACGGCTACCGGAAAACACACAAGCGATTCTCGCTACAGTGAGCTCCGTTCCGCTCACTCAACTAGCAGACTTAGCGGATCGAGTTATTGAACGATCACAGCCACAGGCCAACGCCAGCAAGGTCCATGCCGTCGCGTCCCAGGGCACTTCTATCACTGGATTACAGTCAACCATAGAAGCCCTGCAAACACAAGTCGCGACACTTAGTCGCCAGGTCCAGCAGCTTACTATGACCCGTCGTCGTCCTAGCCGCTCAACATCGCCCTGCAAACGTTCTCAGTCTAGAAACAGGCAGGCTAGCTGTTGGTACCACCAGCGTTTTGGTACCGCAGCTCGTAAATGTGTCAAGCCTTGCACCTTTGCCGAGAAGCAGGGAAAACTTCGCGGCCGGTCCGTAACGGCGACGGACGCGACTGGCCAACACCAAAGTCGCCTCATCCGTGTTAGGGATTTAACTTCCGGCACCGACTTTCTAGTCGACACTGGTGCCGAAGTTAGTGTTATACCCCGTAGCGCAAATGAGGTCGTCTCACCATCGCCGACCAAGCTGCGTGCCGCCAATGGCACACCAATCGCAACTTTCGGCGAAAAGCTGCTAACGCTCAACTTAGGCCTCCGGCGAACCTTTCGCTGGCCTTTCATAATCGCTGCTGTGCCTTTCGCCATCATAGGCATCGACTTTCTTCAACGCTTCGACCTCATCGTCGACGCTAAACGGAAGAAGCTTATCGATTCTAGGACACAGCTCAGTGTTATCGGGACTAGCGCCAACGTGGCTGCTATCACTCCCATTCGTGTCCTACCTCAAGCTTCACAGCCTTTTCTAGAACTTTTCAGCAAGCACCCTAAACTCGTTCGCGCCCTGAACGACTTGCCGCCTGTGACGTCAAACGTCGTGGCATCACATTTGCACTAAGGGCCTACCTGTTTCGGCCCGCCCTCGCCGACTAGCCCCGGACAAACTCAAAGCTGCTAAGGCGGAATTCGAGCAAATGCTCGAACTGGGAATCATCCGTCCGTCCAAAAGTCCATGGGCATCACCATTACACATGGTGCCTAAGAAATCCGGTGACTGGCGTCCCTGTGGTGACTACAGGGCACTTAACAAAGTTACCGTCCCGGATAAATACCCTATTCCGCACATGCACGACTTGACCTCAGCTCTTGCTGGCAAGTCTATCTTCAGCAAAGTCGACTTAGTCCGTGCGTACCACCAGATACCTGTGGCGCCAGATGACATTGCTAAAACAGCAGTCATCACGCCATTTGGCTTATTCGAGTACCTCAGAATGCCTTTCGGCCTCAGCAACGCTGCTCAAACTTTTCAGCGTTTCATTCATGAGGTAACGCGAGGACTCGAAGGCGTTTATCCTTATCTAGATGACATACTCATCGCCAGCTCTTCTGACGAAGAGAATCTTCGTCAGCTCGACGCTCTCTTCCAAAGCTTAACACAGCATGGGTTACCGTCAACCCCGATAAATGCGAGCTTGGCCAAAGCTCCATCGACTTTCTTGGCCACCGCATATCTGCCTCTGGTATCGAAGCCCTGCCAGACAAAATCCAGGCACTGAAGGACTATCCTGCTCCCAGTTCCTTCAAGCAGTTACGCCGATTCCTTGGTCGGTCAACTATTACAGACGCTTTATACCTAACTGCGCGAGCATTGTTCAACCAATGACTGACTTGCTGCGCGGTAAACAACGCTCTTTTCATTTTACAGACGACGCTAAATTGTCTTTCGAGAAGCTTAAAGACGCTATCTCCAACATAGCGCTTCTCGCCCATCCAGACACATCTGCACAACGCCTCCTGACGACTGACGCATCCGACACTGCCGTCGGTGCAGTTCTTCAGAAACGCATCGACCATCGATGGATACCTCTAGGTTCTTCTCAAAGCGCTTACAACCTGCCGAATCGCGATACAGCACCTTCGGTAGGGAACTGTTAGCTATCTACCTAGGTATCCGACATTTCCGTCACTACCTCGAAGGTCGAAATTTTACAGTCTTCACCGACCACAAGCCATTGATCTACGCAATCAATGGCGCAACAGACAAGTACTCGCCGCGGGAAACTAGACACCTAGACTACGTTTCTCAGTTTACGACAGACGTACGTCATGTCTCAGGTGCTCTCAATCCCGTCGCGGATGCGCTTTCACGCATTCAGCAGATCAGCTTATCGCCTGGCACCAACATTGATCTAGCCGCTATGGCTGCTGCCCAACAAGCTGATCCCGACATCGACAAGCCACGACGCAACACCACTGAGACGATCACCATTGATCGACTCAAGCCAGCATACCTTGACAAGTCTGACTCGCCGGTGCAACAAGCACCTTCACAGCCCGTGCCATCACAGCCGGCACCGCAACCGCAGACGAGTCAGCCCGCTCCAGCAGAACCGACAAACACAACCGACAGCACTCCTACCCGCCCTACCCTCAATCGACGCGGTAGGAAACTCAAGCCTCCAGTTCGTTTTTCAGACTTTGTCAGTACTTACTATTTTACGTAGAACGTGCCTTAGAAATTTTCTGCTCTTACTAAACGTTTTTGAAAATCCACAAAAAAAAGACCAAAACGTTTTGAAACTACCAAAAAAGAGCAAAACCTTTTGAAAACCCAAAAACAGCTTCACACTGTTTTTGCTTGTCACTGTTTTGTGTATTGCTATGCATTTATGCTGCTTTTTCATTTTGCTTTCCATATACATCGTCGGTTGGTTGCACCTCGGTTTCACTTTCCGCTGGATCTCCGCACGCCAACTGGAAGTTCAACAATCTTCCTGCTCAACTGCCTACGTGAACTTTATTAACTGTCCCCCCCACAAACAGTTTTTTTACCGTTTCGACACCGTAGGGAGGACACGGGTGGGAGCCCGCTAGGGTCCGATTGCATGGTTCTCCCCCAGCAGCTGCATCGGGTTTCACAACCTGGTCTCGCAGAAGGCTGGCCCGCGACGGACAGTCCTCACGTAGATCGAAGGACTGCTTACACAGTCCCTTCTGGGAGAGGGCTATGTAGCAGTCTGGAGATTCCCCGGTTTGCTTGTGTAAAATTCTAACCAAAATTCTTTAATTGTACACTTAGGCAACCGGTGTGGTTTGTTGAACTGCTTGCTGAGTTCGAATGCTTTACTTGCTCATCGCCATTTTTGCTTGGCGCTCGCTTCGGTTGCAACGCGCGACTGCTCTGTGTGCTGTGCTTGATCTGTTCCCCTAGCTAGAGCGTCCACGGTGTCGTTCGTTTATAGCTAGCTAACAGGGAATCTTTTGCTGAACCAATAAAGTTTCCCTGCAACTCGATCCGTCTTCTCGAATCGCTCTCTGGGCTCCCGGAATAGGCAACCCTCTAAAGGAGTCACCAATTTAGTGAGTCGCCTGTACCGGGAGCCCGGAGCGATTCGAAAAGACAGATCGAATTGCAGGGAAATTTTTATTGGTACGGTAAAAGATTCCGTTATCTAGCTATAAAGGAACGACACCGTGGACGTTCTAGCTAGGGGAACGGAGCATGCACAGCACACAGGGCAGTCACGAGTTGCAACCGAAACGAGCGCCAAGCAAAAATGGCGATGAGCAAGTCAAGCATTCAAACTTAGCAATCAGTTCAACAAACCACACCGGTTGCCTTGGTGTACAATGAAGTAATTTCAGTTAGAATTTTACACAGGCAAACTGGGGAATCTCCAGACTGCTACAATCTCTGCTATCGAGCTAATATTTCAGCGTCTTATGGATCAAGCCGTTCGCGGGCTCGATTTCGTTTTCGTCTATATTGACGATGTCTTGATTGTAAGTCCTAACCATGACGAACATTCGCGCCACTTGCGACAACTTCTCGAACGATTTGTGCATTATGGAGTAGTTATTCATGCCTCCAAGAGTCAATTTGGTGTTGATACAGTAGACTTTCTTGGTCACCGTGCTTTTTCCGCCGAAATTACACCCCTATCCGATAGAGTGACAACCATCACTGAGTACCCACTCCCTGACTCCCTCAAAAAGTTACGCCGGTTGATGGGCATGGTTACCTTTTACAGACGATTCATTCCGCACTGTTCCGAGTTAGCCCAGCCACTTACCGAGCTACAAAAATTGGATGTCAAGTCATTCAGATTTACAGAATCAGCTAAGCCGGCATTCAGTGGTCTAAAACATCAGCTAGCAAATGTAACTCTCCTCGTGCATCTGGACCCTAAGGCGCCGTTACAGTTAACGGTGGACGCCTGGTGCAACAGTACGCTACCACAGGACGGAGAGGTGAATCGTATTCGATTGCCTTTTTCTCTAAGAAACTACAGCCTACCGAACGACGCTATAGCACGTTCAGCAGAGAACTCAAGTTCAAGTTAAGTTGGGATCGGAACGATAGGATAGTCCCGTGAATCTTCCCTCTTTTGTATATCGTCAGATCGGGAATTGATAGGTCTGCTTGAGATGTTGAAAAGCCTAAATTAGAGGCCGCATCACACCTTCTCTGACCAATTACTGCCCACATTTTTCTGCCTAACAGTCCCTGCCAGTCCGGTTTATGTGAGGTAACAGAGTGAAGGGTAAGCTAAGAAAACAAGAGGAGGAATGTTAGCTAAATAATGATAATACCTAGGTGTGAGAAGAAATTTAAAAAAACGATGGGAAAGTTGAAGATACAAGTCAGTTAGGAGAAGGGGAAGGTTAGGTACTGCCAACCAAGAGCATCTAACAGACGCTCGAAACCCTCAACCGTCGACTCCCTAACGACGTGCTCCGGAAGCGAGTTCCAACGTTCAATAACTGCGCGACAAGCGAGTTTTCGTCCTTACTCGGTCAGAATGCAGTTTGTGCAGCTTCAACGGGTGACCTCGGAGACTAGGCAGCTTGGCGGGACTAAATAGCCAGGACAAGTCTGGACCGATCTTACCCGTTAAGATACGGCAAGTGAGGATCAAGTCTCCTCTAATTCTGCGGTAGTGCATTGAGTACATACCTAAGCCAAGCAAACGTTCGGGATACGTTTGCCCTCGTAATCCTTGCACTAACCTTGTACCCACTCGCAAAACCTCCAGTTCCATCGCAATGAGGCTGGACCTTACCGTGGTGCGATGGTTTGTGTGCCTCAGCGATCCATTGAGCTATACTGGGTGGTGCTTTTGCACCTTCAGAGTCACTCATACCAGATTGGTCAATGGTTAGAGGCCAGACAAACCCAGCCTCCTGGTCCTCCAGGTTGGGGGTTGGAATGAGGGTGGCACCTTATTCCTTAAAACGGACTTCTTGTAGCCCAACGCGAAACCCACTGCCTTGCGGTCAGGTTTTTGAACCAAAGGCTTTGGTTGAGAACCCTAATCGTTCTCCTGTCTAGGCCTGGGCAACCTGACAGTATCCTGCCCACGCAATACCATGAATATTATCTCAAACAAATTGCTGATGCTCTGGCCACCGCAGAGGATAATCAACGAGGATAATCAACGAGCAGGGTAGATATGGGTTTGGATGCTACTGCTCAAGCCTTCCCGTCTTCTTATTCCCCATCTTACGCTTTTTCACCCTTACCGTCCCCTTCCAACTTCACTTATTTCCCCCCAGTTTTCAACCCCCGGATTCTTGGCCCTCCCCCAACATGCTTTGCTAGGCATTTATCTTCTAATTTCAACTCACATGTGAACGCGGAGCGTCACTCCTCTGCTGTCGACGAGCCCATGTCCAACCAAGCGGTCCATTCCAGTTCATCGGCTTCCATTTGGATCCCTCGATCCTCCTTCAGATTGGCATGCCTTAGTGTACGCACACTACTACAGATCGGTCAACAGGCAGCAGTTGCCCGAACATTGGAGACCCTCTCGATCGATATCTGCTGCTTATCAGAGACCCGCCTGAAAGACTCGAGCTCTGTGCTCACTATGCGATC